CACGGCAGGAGCAACACACCACACACGAACTGATTCCAGTCACGAACATCCCGGTTGCAGAAGAAAATCCCGTAAAATCCCTAACATACCATACGTGAATTTAGAATAAACAAACATGGATGACAATGTAGAAACAGTGATAGTTTGTGGACTTATTTTAAGCGATAACAGATGTAACAAAAAGAAAAGGCTTTGGATAAATGACGGCGTGGCAGCCGCTCTATTCAGCTGTTTGGGATTCTCCTCCGTGCTTACGTCACTGCGCTGTCCGATTGGCTACCTGTCACATTTAATGGACTGCATTCTCGCTCACTGTCAAGGAATACCCTACGGCCTGCGAAAACAATGTTGAATATGTCTGATTTTAGATTGGAGCGCTCCCAACGTTCTACCGACTGGACCAGATGAGTTGTGACATCAGGACAGGTGGATCAGGGTTGCAGTAAAATTGCCAACCTTTTTACCACCGGTCCATGGTGGTAAAAAGGTTGGGGACTACTGACCTACACAACAATATCAGCCAGACAATTGGATCCTTTCGCCCATTAGTAAAATCAAAGGTAAAAAATCTAAGTGTCACATTTGATTCATTATTAGGCTTCGACTCACACATTAAGGCTGTTTGCCATTCTTGTTTCTTTCACTTAAGAAACATTTCTAAAATCAACCTAGAGAATATCATTCATGCTTTTGTATCATCTCGTCTAGACTACTGTAATGCCCTTTTTACCTGCCTGGATAAAGCCTCAATTTCACTTTTGTAATCTATACAGAACACAGCAGCCAGACTTCTCACCAAATCCAGTAAATCATGTCATATCTTTCCTGTTCTATATTCATTACTTTGCTCCCTATCATGATGGGTTCTGTTGACATTAGCCTTCATCCCTGCCACCTGGGCTTAATTAACGCAGCTGTTTTGTTTTCCTGATTGTGTTTTTCCCCAGTATATTTAAGTTTACCTGTGTCCCTAGACATTGTGGGATCCTCTGCGTTGCTCACTGCGTTCTCAGTGTAGTTTATGATCTGTAATCTAGAAAGGTACCAGTGTAGAAAAATAAAGCTTCTAAATTCTGCTGAACTGAGCTTGGCTGGACTTACCTCATTCACATGATGACCAGATCTGACACTCCCAGTTGATTTTAGAATTCGTTTTAAAGTCCTTGTGTTGACATACAGAGCATTACATGGCCAGGCTCCTGATCATCTTTGTCAACTTTTAACTAAATATTCTGCTGTCCGTGGTCTTCGTTCTCAAAGTCTGAATCTTTTGGTTGTTCCATGAACAGTTAAAAACTAAAGGGGACCAGGCCTTTCAGTCGGTGGCTGTGGAACAGTTTGCCCTTGCAG